ATATATTAGATAGATAGATATATGTCTTTCTAGACGTGTGTAGCCCCCCGTGCCGTCGAATGTATCGTCTACTCCTCATCTACAGACGTGCTACGCGTACAAAGCGCGACGAAAAACTAACGAAAAAACAACAACAAAGCAACAACAACAACAACAAACAACAACAGCAACAAAACAACAACAACAACAACAACAACAACAAACAACAACAGCAACAACAAACCTCAAACTACTCTCTCACGACTCGGAGTCGCATTGCGTGTCGACGCTTCGTCCTATCGCGAAACAAAAAATTACAAAATATTTGCACTGTACTCGCCGTCATCGGCTGCATGTGTACGCACGAAGAGAGATCGAAATCGTGTAGGGATCGTCTTTGATAGCGCTTCCAGTCGCGCTGTAGTCACAGGCGTGCCTAGCCCCCGAAGGAAAGAGAGCTAGAACATCCGGCCAGTCCTAAATTCAATTCGTAATTGCATCTAAATGTCCACAAAACGGTTGAAACGCTGCGACCGCGGTACACCCGGTTACCTAATCTGGTAGAAAATGAATGCAATAATTCGATTTCTGTATAGGAAGGATCTATCGATCGGCATGTACGTAGCGAGGCTTCGATTGTGACGAACAATGGCTTATCTATTTGCTAATTCCAATCGCACTCCGCGGTTAACATCTAAATAACTATACTCACTTGACATGTAAATTTTGGTCAAAGTTAGACATAGAACGGTAGGAATCGCCAATGCTCAAGCAGTCCGACTCGCATCACCACCTAGAAACAAGCGAACAGCTCCTCATCGCCCTGCAAAAAAAGTACAAGGCGTCCATAAGGTCTATATAAGCATCGAACAGAATTTAATTAATAATACTCCGAGGGTTTCGGTGCATATACAGCATGCACTTTATTCATGTCGAACAACTACAGATTTAATGTCAAAATTCCGCAAGAAACTTAATTGCCAGCTCCGCTTTGAACATTTCCAGCATGTCATCGGATCCCGTTTCAAACACAGAAACGGCGGACCGGTCACTATGAGCTCGCAACCTCAGTTGAAATAGCCAATATGAACAAAGCGACATCTCTCGCTAGTTACAATATATATATATATATATATATATATATATATATATATATATATATATATATATATATATATATTGTGAGCCTTTATTCCATTTGTGCCCGGTTTAGTACATTCTACGCAGTACTGCTTAGTGAAGATATTTGAACTCGGCATCGTTCAAAGTTCAATCAATAATCACTAGCCATAGACAAAACGTTAGCCGACTCAGTAACATAGCCACATATTACACATTATAGCGGTTAAAAGAATTTTCCACCACAAGAATTGCGTTAAGCAAATCTAACAGATGATTCCGTGACAGAAAATCGAACTAACTATATAGCCCATACAATACGTGCCTGTACGCATCAAGTTTATCAATAAGTGTAAAGTGTACAGGTCATTCATAGTACCAAGAGGCATACTGGGATGTTGGGATTTGCATTTGGTTGCTGTCAAGTTTGGGATAATGCATTTGTGGAATATTATACGTTGTCAAAAGTTTCGCTATTATTATTTCACATCCATGCGCCATTATAAATCGACATTGCAATTCTGCAGAAACAAATTGAAAGCTGCTATCGATTCACGACATAATACATATCATGTCTCCCTAAATTATATGAACAAAATGGCTCATGAGATATGATATTTCCCAAAAAAGAAAAAATTTTGTACGAGGTGTTCTTGGCAAGTGACTTGAACCCAGCATATTACTAGGAAAGACCTTCAATGCATTCGCGGCGTTTTTTAATTAGCTTGACGCGTACGTACTACCACGGTCGGCCTTCCAATCTATCGAGGTGTGTGTAGAGCAATCAAACTCTGCTTACACCTAAAGCCACTCAGGAAGAAAAAAACTTGACGCTGTTGCGGTGAATTTTAACGGCAATATCTGAGTGAGAGAAAGCGAGTGAGAACGAGAGAGAGAGAGAGAGAGAGAGAGAGAGAGAGAGAGAGAGAGAGAGAGAGAGAGAGACAGAGAGACAGAGAAGGGGAGTTAGAGAGAGAGCGCGCGCGAGAGAGAAACAGAGATAGAAAGAGACGGAGATGACATTTAAAATGATATCAACATATATATCGCGCGATGGAGATGCGATACGTACTAAAGCCACATCAGAAACCGAGAAATACGGATGTATGAATAGCGAAATAACGTCTAGAACATAAAAAAAGCCGTAACAATCGCAGCAAGTAAACGAAATGCGAGAATGAGGCAACAGTTGGGAAGAGAGGGAGGGCAGTGTCAGTAAAAGGTGAAAAAGGAGAAAGATGTAGAGAAATGCAAACGATTACGCCGTGAGCATTTTGCCGCCTATACAGAGTTGAGAGGTCGCGGCTTACGGTGTATGCGCTCTGATGAGGTCCCGAGAATAAGAACTACGATTTTCCCGATCTGTTTTACATGCGATCAATAGAGTCTGATTAAAGAAGAGATTTCACTATAGAGACGGAGAAACGACAAGACGTCCCATTAGAGAGAGAGAGAGAGAGAGAGTCGCTTCTTTTAAAAGCACTGATGCCGTTGTTACCTAGCCTATAATCACATCGTACAACTATAAGGACTACACGATAGCGCGTTGTCAGAGTGTGTTTTCTAACTGGCCCCCTGAAATGATAAATGCAAAACTGTACCCTCCGTAGCCGCTGTTCGCTTTGGCAAACCTTGCTCGCGACTCTATATACAATCTAACCGCGCCGGCATTCGATGATTTTAGCAAGTGCCCGGTCGCTTTTAATTTGCTTTCCATCTTCTCTGAGAAATCGACGAGGAGAAGTGGTGGAAATTGCAGCGACTCTACACTGATAAAGCTTCGCGCACTAGGAGCGAGTGAAACCGACAATGTGAAATAGAGAGAATCCGATATTTATACAAACAGCGTTCGGTGAGAGACGCGCGCATCCGTTTCGCACGTAATGCGCTTGAACGCGGGTGAACATGCGATTGGAAGAAAGTCGACTTAACATCGACACCGCATCCCTCAATACTTGCAAAAGCTGAGTTTTGTAGTCGGCGATAAATTGCGTTCGGGCCTTCCGCCGCCGGTGCCCGGACCGTTCGATAGAATTGCTTATTAAATAATAGTGCAGATGTGTAGCATGTAGCAGGCAGATCAAACAGCAAATTTCACGTTTTTTTCTGTTTATTTTACGAAGTGGTCGATTGCTGCGAGTCTGGGTGTCTCCTTCCCCTTTGTGTGCGGCAGCCTGTCTCTCTCTCTCTCTCTCTCTCTCTCTCTCTCGCTCTCTCTCTCCCTCTATCTCTCTGTTTGTCTGTCTCTCTCCCTCTCTCTTTCTCTTTCTGGCTGTCGCTCTCTCCGACTTTTTTCTCGCTGTCGCTTCTTATCTCTCGCTCTTTCTCTCTCTCTCTCTCTCTCTCTCTCTCTCTCTCTCTCTCTCTCTCTCTCTCTCTCGCTCTCTCTCTCTTTCTCTCTCTTTCCCCCTCTCTCTCTCTCTTTCTACTCTCGCTCGATCTATATCTACCTATCTATCTATCTAGCTATCTATCTATCTATCTATCTATTGTGTGTGTGTGTGTGTGTGAGTGTGTCTGGTGGTGGTGGGGGAGGGGGGTTTGATGTTAGCCGCGGCGCGAGGTGAGAACATCGAGCATGGAATTTTTCTCTGCTGCTGATAATGATGATGATGATGATGATGATGATGACGATGATGATGATTGGGTTAGACAAAGAGAGAGAAGAGAGAACGCGCGTAAGACAGATAAAGAGAAACAGAACGCGAGATCGCAATAGACAGACAGACAGAGAGACAGACAGAGAGTGGGAAGAGAGAGCGGGAGATAGAGAGAGGAAGCGAACGAGAGAGACAGATAGAGAGGGATAGGGAGAGAGAGAGAGAGAGAGAGGGGGGGAGAAAGAGAGAGAGAGAGAGAAGGAGAGAAAGAGAGCGAGTTAAGGAAATAAAACGCGCGCACCCTAGCCGATGGCGCAGTAAGTAACACGAAACGCCGGATTTTCAAAAAAAAACTCTCAACGAGTTACGCAATCATGTGCTATCATCGGAAACACTGTCTGACGCGCTGCCGCTCTCTCTCTCTCTCTCTCCTCCTCGCGCGTTTCCCCTTGCGTATTTGTTTCAGGTGCGCGAGAAGGATCTTAATTGCCGTAGCGCTAACAAACAAGCATCGTATAGCAGACGATGCGTGTTAATTCGTACTCCGGTGCAGCATACACGCGTTACCGTCACAGCCAGGCGTCCCACGACACCACCGCCTGCCGGAATCCGAACGAAAGGGAAGCAAGGAGCGGACGAATGGTACGAGCAATGCTTCTTGCGTTTTCGACGCGCGCGTTAATTTGGCTTGCTGCTAAATTGGAGCAGGGGAGGGGAGAAATAGCGCGGACAATGTCCAGAACACTCCTGAAAAGAAACAGTATGGGGAGGAGAGATCTCGCACTTGCTTACGCGCGCGTTAATTTTGCTTACGCCTGAAAAGAAGGAGCAGGAAGGAGAAATGACGCGAGCAATGTTTTTTGCGTTCCCGACGCGCGTGTTAATTTTTCCCGATGTTGAATCGAAGCTCAAACGTGCAATGCGCGCGTGGAGTTTGCGCTCTTGCTGTTTCACGAGAGAGCTACATATAAATCATTACTTTTACTTATTCTGATGTTGAGTCAATGATGTTGAATGCTTCTGCTGCTGACGACGTATGTCAAGGTCGCGAAAGCTGACTTAGCCGGCGGCTGCGGAAGCCCGGACATAGGTGAGGGGCTTAATGACTGTATTAGCGGTAAGCTCCTGCATCGATAGGCTAGCTTAACTGTATCATAGTCTGACTGCTGCTGTGTGTGCTTAGTGATTACGTGCGTGCGTGCGTGTGCGTGTGAGTGTGAGTGTGTGTGTGTGAGTGTGAGTGTGTGTGTGTGTGTGTGTGTGTGTGTGCGTGTGCGCGCGCGAATGTGCGTGTATGTGTGTGTCTATGTGTAGTTGTGTCTGCATACATGTGTGCAAAACACATGCTATACGTATGACCTTTTTTTTTAAATCCTTTAAATGTAAACGTAGATTTAATAGAGTAAACCACGGATTTAAAAATAACAGCCCCATATTTTATATCGGAATGTAAGTGCGCGAGTGCACGAAGAATGATCAGGGATTTTGTCCATGCAGTTACACAGACTAATATCGGACTTTCAACGTTAACTAGGCGAGGGGGCGACTAAATGTTGGAAATCCCGCGGGAGAAGGGCAGAGGGTATGAGTCAGCAAAATATGAAATAGCAGCAAAAACAGTGAGTGTCGTGTGTGAATAGGATCAGCATTCAGACCGTGGTGCAACGTGACAACGCGGGTGGGATCACCTTGACAGAAAATACTCTGTGTGGGGGTTAGGGTGAGCGAGAGAGGAAGAAAAAAGTGGATTGACGGGGAAGAAGTGCAGAATATATATATATATATATGGAGACATAGAGAGGAGAGAGAGGGAAATAGAGAGAGTCACTGAGAGAGAAAGAGAAAGAGAGAGCGAGAGAGAAAGAGAAAGAGAAAAAGAGAGAGAGAGAGCGAGCGAGAGAGAGAGAGAGAGAGAGAGAGAGAGAGAGAGAGAGAGAGAGAGAGAGAGAGAGAGAGATTGTGTGTGTGTGTGTGTGCGCGCGAGCGTGTGTGTGCATGTGTATGTGTGTGGCGCAGACAGACGGGGAAAATAAACACGCCCGTATTAGCGCTCTCGTTCTTTCTTATACCCCCGCCCTCTTTCCTCTCTCTCTCTCTCTCCCTCTTTCCTCTCTCTCTCTCTCTCTCTCTCTCTCTCTCTCTCTCTCTCTCTTTCATTCTCTCTCTCTCGCAAATGACAATATGACACACGGACATGATTAGCAGTGTGTTACACGAGCGTCATTCTAACATCGTGCTTGCTTGCTGTCTGTTTCAGTGCCGACGGAAACTACGAGGTCAGTTACAAGGTGAACGTCGTGCTGTTCCACACGGGACAGGTCCTCTGGGTGCCGCCAGCCATCTACCAAAGCTCATGCACGATCGACGTTACCTACTTCCCTTTTGATAAGCAAGAGTGTAACATGAAATTCGGCTCGTGGACGTTCAACGCCGAACAGGTCCGGCTCAAATTCTACGAGGGCACGTCGTCGGTCGATCTGAACGACTACGTCATCAGTGGCACGTGGGACGTGCTCGAGGTGCCAGGTGATCTGTCGGAGGACAACAGCACGATCGAGTTTCTCATCAAGCTGCGGCGAAAGACGCTGTTTTATACCGTGAACCTCGTCATACCGTGCGTGCTGCTGTCGTTTCTCAGCATACTCGTGTTCTATCTGCCTTCGGACTGCGGCGAGAAGATGACGTTGGCGATATCGTTGCTGCTGGCGCTCGTCGTGTTCCTGCTGCTCGTGTCGAAGATCCTGCCGCCGACGTCGCTGACGATACCGCTCGTGTCGAAATACCTCCTCTTCACCTTTATAATGAACATCGTCACCATCCTCGCCACCGTCATCATCATCAACTGGAACTTTCGCGGCCCGACGACGCACCGCATGCCGCGTCTCCTGCGCTGCATCTTCATCGACTTTTTCCCGAAGGTGCTGCTCATACGTCGGCCTCCGAAGAAGCTGAGAACTGGCCACCAGCATCCGGGACACCAGCAGCATCGTCACCCGGATGTGGAGCACGTCGTCGGCGGCGTCGGCGCCGAGTCGGCGACGCACTACGGCAACACGGTGAACACTCGCGACGACGTCAAGTACTCGTACATTAGCAAAGCCGACGTGATGGAACTCTCCGAGATGCATCATCCCAACTGTAAGCTGGGGGGAAGGCAGTCGAGCAGTGAGATGCGAGCGGAGGAGGACGGACAGGAGGTGGAGTACGAGGAGCCGATTCCGCTGACGGCCGAGGCTCACAGGACGGCAACGGCTGTTGACTTCATAGCCGAGCATCTGCGCATGGAGGATGAAGTGGCTGTGGTGAGTACAATGCGATTGGAATGCACAGCGTTGCGACGCTGCCGCCGCATTCCCCGCCGACGTTGCTGCTATCACCACCACCACCGCCACAGTCACCCCCGTTGCCGCCACCATCATCACCATCACCCCCGCCGCCGTCACCTCCACTATCACCACCATCACCGCCGCCGTCGCTGCCATCACCACCACTATCACTGTTACCTCTGCCACCATCACCACTACTACTGCATTGCCACTCCATTCCACCTCATATTACTTCACCACATCCCATCTGACTCGTGCCCCACCGTATTCCGTCTTACTCCTACCTCGTTACCCCCACTCCCATGCTATTCCACCCACTCCCACCCCACCACATCAACCATCATTCTCACCCCACCATGTTCCACGTTCCACCTTCCATTCCACTCACTCAGCACCACTCCCACCCACCCCATCAACCATCATTCTCACCCCACCATGTTCCACGTTCCACCTTCCATTCCACTCACGATGGAAGGTGGGGTATGGTGGGGTGAGAATGATGGTTGATGGGGTGGGTGGGAGTGGTGCTGAGTGAGTGGAATGGAAGGTGGAACGTGGAACATGGTGGGGTGAGAATGATGGTTGATGGGGTGGGTGGGAGTGGTGCTGATTTCCATTCCACTCACTTAGCACCACTCCCACCCACCACATCAACCATCATTTTCACCCCACCATACCCAAGTGATGGTCTTCCTTGTTAGAAATAAATATGAACTGTTTTTTAGATTGTGAAAAGCATAACAGTAAAAGGCAGGGGCCCGTTGTCAGAAACATCGTAAAGTTAATGCTAATGTTAATGCTAAGATAACACTTACGACTAATGTTAATGTTACGAGAGTATAGTGTTGACAGAAACACATCGTAGCTACGAGCAAACTTACGATAACAGGAACTTCAGCACAAGGCTGCTCATTGGATGAG